TGTGTGTGTGTGTGTGTGTGTGTGTGTGTGTGTGCGTGCAGGGAATATGTGAATATAAAGGTTGCAGTGACCCACTATGACCTCCAGCTGCTAAACATCACATTATTGGGACCAATAGTTAAACTAGAGCGAGTCCATAAAATCACAGGAAAATAAAATGCTCACTTCCATGATGTGGTGTTGATGCATGTGATGCATTCAGACTTTGTTTGTCTGTTTGTTAGCAGGGTTACACAAAAACTACTGGACAGATTAACACAATACTTGGTGGAATGATGTGATATGGGTCAAATTTTGAAGCAGATCCAGATCAGGGGACAGAGCAAGGACTTTTTTTCAAATCACTTTCTTTAAAATTTAGTTTTTCAACATTTGTGGTAGAATAATTCATGAATCTGGCATGTTTAGTGGACTAGTATTTATGAGTATGAGCTTTTTGGTGCAGATCAGAATAAAAATCTGGATGTTGATTTTAAATGTGGTTTTCCTAAGTACACTATTGGGCCTCGGCTGAGGTATGTGCTCTCCGAGGGACATTTTATTTACATTTATTTCAGATTATAATCCACAGGCAGCAGTTTTTCAACCAACACTTGAGCATCAGCCATGACACTGATTTAAACTCAAAAATAAAACTTACTTATAAACTTTAAACTTAAAAATGAGAGGACTTTTCTGGTAAAGTGTGCTGTTAAGGCATATTGCAATCAGGGTGTATTTCCACACATTATACACACAAGTTCTGCATCTGTGTTCTTATCATTTCAGCAGAACTTTGACACTATCCAAACTTCATTTGAAAACTGCTAATTTACTGCGGTTTTACTAAATTACACATAAAGCAAATGCAGATGGCTTCCTGTGGTTTTGCACTTTAATTGTAGACAGTCGTGTTTTAATTCGGCTGGTAGCAATCCACCAGAGTGACCATATTTCAGCAAAGTTCTACCTTTTTCAACTGAGTCATGCTGTCCTGCCACGACGCTGTTTCTGATGCAAGAGCGCTGTATCCGTAAACTGCCAACTACAGCTAAAGCTCAAAATATGCTAAAACAAGAACTTCTGTTTGTATTGGGTGTGAGCCGAATCGATCAACAACCTTTGACGTTTATGCACATGGCAGTAATACGGTTGTGTGTGTTTGCGCTTTTGTATACAAGCAAGATATCTTCTACTCTACATACTTTTCAATGGAGTTCGGCGGAATGTTTAGAGGCAAACTTCGGCGTTAGCGCTGAGCTTGCAGAAAGTTTTTCAAAACGTCCAATTCCGCCATTTTACCACCGACAACAACACATCTCCGCTTACACGCACTTTTCTTACCTTGGCACTATAAAGTTTAGCAGCTTGGAGCCTCAGGCAGGGCGGCGTGTCTGCCAGTCTTCTGCCGAACACACACACATGTCTGAGGGGTTTAACAGCGCTGTAGGCCCGAAGAATCCTGGTCATATTAATACAGCTGGTGATGAAAGTAATGGCAGAGGGAACTGACTGTGGACCAAGGTGCTGAGTGGAGGACCACGGGGGGATTTGGGGTTGAAACAGATGAATGGATGAGTGGTGGTGGCGCAGCCCCCTCGTGTCTTCACAAACGCGGACACTCAGCGCTTTAACTTGTGAGTTCTGATTGGCTGCCGGGTCGTTGTTTTTCTCATTACACCACGCGCACAGCGTTTTGATTGGTCCCCTCTGTCATATGACAACTGATGAAACTGAGATTCACGTCTGTTGAAATCCAGAAACTAGAGATTGTAGGTGTCGACACTGTAATACTTTACAGCTCCAATATTTTCTACTGGAGCAAAATGTTGAAGCTGTCAACTTATAACTAAGTTGAGCTATTACTCTCATAGTAGCAGGTTATTTATAGGCCAGGCAGTTTTTCATGGATTGTTCTTTTATTGAGTGTGTGCGTGTGTTACTATAGTTACAAGGGCCAATTGTGGCTCAGTTCCATCAATGCGAGGACATTTTCACTGTTTAAGGACATTTTGGAAGGTCCTCCCAAATACAGAGGGTTGTTTCAGGGTTAGAATCGGAATTAGGTTAAGCATTAGGGTTAGGTTAAGGGTCAGGATTAGGTATTTAGTTGTGATAGTTAAGGAGAGGGTATGGGGCTAGGGAATTCATTATGTCGGTTCGTGTCCTAACAACTATAGAGAGACGTGTGTGTGAGAGAGAGAGAGAGAGAGTTACCCACTTCCAATGGCCTATTTGAGGGTTAAGACTTACTTTTAGAGTTAAGGTTAGTTAGGTTAGTGTTACCATTCGGGTTAGGGTTTAGTTGTGGTGGGCAACATCAGGATAAAGGTATCTGTGAAGGTTCTCTGTCATCCAGGTCATGGTATCTTTAGGAATTGTACAAGTGTACATAGGCAACTGGGTTAGGGTTAGACAACACAAGCAAATCCAGTTGCTGCTCTACAACTCCTAAAGTTAGGGCAAAGATCTAGAGAGTGCATTATGGCAATAAGTGTCCTCACACAAGGTTTTGTGTCACCGTTGTGCCATTTCTGAGGTCCTGTATAAGGTGAAGGGGGCAGATGTGATTTGTGGTCAGGTTAAGGTTAAGGTTAGGCATGAATTGGTCATGATAAGGGTTATAGGGATGTGGTTTTGGTTAGGGGCTCTCCACAATGAGTGGATGTCAAAGCAAAATCCTATTCAGATTTGTGTGTGTGTGTGTGTGTGTGTGGGTGTGTTTGTGTGTGTGTGTGTGATGAATATGTGACCATAAAGGCTGCAGTTACCCAATACGACCTCCAGCTGCCAGCCATCGCATGACCAGTAACAGATAAGCAGCATTATACAGACTTCAAATATCATACAGCATTACTTGATGAAGAAATAAGTGTTTCTTTTGAGTACTCAGTCTTTATTTTAGAGCATTGAAAAAAAAAAAGCGCTTTCACTTGCACCTGCTGACAGAAAACTGTGTGTGCTTTACTTTCTGTGCAGCAAACTCTTTTACAGCCTTTTCTTTCCTGCAGAAAAAAAGTCAAACTGACCATGGGCAGGCTCCATGGTGTTGGGATTAGAGCCGTCTGTGTATTTGCTGATCACTGCAAGACTGGTGCTGTGTTGAGAAGGCTGCCTGACTGCCACTCTGCTGGGTTCAGCAGTCTGGACAAAGTGGGTGTGAGTAATGGGACCTGTACAGATCTGGAAATGCCTCCACACTCTAGAAGTCACAACCTGGAACAATCGACTGTGTAACTTTGAAAAAAAGCGCTGATGTTATGTGTAACTGACGTAGCTCCATCTAAACATATTCATGCATATAACATGGATGTTATGGGAAATATAAATATGTTATAGCCTGATCAATCTGTGTAGTTTGTCCTAATATTCATTGACTAAAATATGTATTTCTTTATTAGACTGAACTCCAGTGTCCTGCAGCCCACAGCTCATTTTCCTCTGGTTCAATTTTAATACCGGCTCCTTCTCTTGTCGTGTGGAGCTCTGCTGACATCCAGTGGCAATTTCTTGCCTTAAAGATTCAGAGGTATTCCAGTTGTTAACAGTGTTGTCCTGGCACGTGATGTGTAGGAGACACTGCAACTCTCACTGTTAAAAAGAGTTTTGAGGTTAACTCTGTTTAGTACATGCTTTTGACCTTGGCCTATGAACCTCAAAATTAATGACATATAAAAGTGACTATAAGATTAGATGAGATTTGCACCTGACCCACTCAGAGAGGATGTAGTCCGACATGATGACAGTTGACTCTCACTGATCTGCTTAATACAACTTATTCAGGTTAACATAGTGGATTGGTTCATTTTCTGTCTATCACCATCTCTTAATTCTGTCTTTGGAAACTGTTCAGACTCAGCACAGACTGATGTTTGTACCTGATGCCCCACCTCCATGTGCACTCATTAATCATTTCAGCTGAATGTGTCTGTTAGAGAAGCCCTCACACAGAGGATTTATAATCCTGTTAAATGCCTTCATGAAGTATTACACAGAATGTACATATTTAGAGACACTGAAAACAGAGAGCCATAAAACACTTTACTGGCCAAATGAGTTTGTTACAATATCAAGACCAGACAAATTCCCTTCGATACAATAAAGCAGAATTAATTAATGCAATATTTTCTTTGTTGTAGGGTCCCCCAAAATCAAAAGTTACATAACTGAAGTTGTTTTCTATAAAAGATATAAGTACAGCAGTACAGCACATTTATGTAAAAGTGGGCATGTATAGCAAATGAAGCTTCATGTATATAGGAAAGACATCCCCTTATTTCAAATTATATCACACAATCTACCTACATAATAATGAAGTATATTTCAGCAGTCGATCAAACTTTATTTGTTAATCAAAATAATAATAATAATTATGTTTTCATCTACTCTAATGACTTAAAAATACATACTTATGGCGTCAAAACGCAGCCCTGGCTCCTTGCTGACAATAATGACAGATTCCCCTACAGTGGAAAATTGCTGGGCGATGAACTGGGAGAACACGAGACGACTGTGCAATGCATAGCGTGGCCCTTTATTACTGGGAGGGCCGCAGCGAGCTGCCTTCCAAATTCCTCCACTGATTGGCTCAGCCTGCGGCCTAATGAGCTCCAGTGTCTGTCCTCGGCGGAGGGACCCCACATTGTCTGCGGTTTCAAGTGTACATTTCAGATGGTGACCAAGCTTAAGGGAGGACGTAAATAGGCGGGCAGCTCTCACTCGCTCCTCTCTTTGCCAGGTTTCCAAGCACAGTCCTGCACCCAAGATGACAGAAATAATAGATTCAAGGATCCATGATGGCAGTTTGGACTGGTCTGACAGTTTGAAGATATTGACATTAAACAGGACATTGCTGTTGATATATATTGTTCTTTTTTGTATGGCAGCTTTCAGCAGCTGAGTAATTCACAGTTTACAAAAGACATGAACAGACCACAGAATAAGATTTACAGAGCAGTTACAATCTATGGCAAGATATGAATGAGAAGTCCAGGTTTTTATATCTAAAAAATGGACACAAAAGCATTTAGCCTTAATTTGAAATAAATGATGGCGCAGACCTTGTTTTTTCTGGGGGGAAAACCTGCACTTGGCAGGACCATGAAGGTTTGACTCTGAGAACTGATGGTTTAGAGGCCTGGACGGAAGATATCATCCATGTGATTCAGTTCATGGTATAAACCAACAGTCGTATTTTATATCAGTACAACAGTTTTATCACTGCCTGAAACTTATTCTATTCTATTATAACACACTTTGACTGGATTGAACTGTAAACTCTACCAATTCATTATAATATGTTGACATATATAATCACATTGTATGTATGTAAGTGCAATATCCATTTTGTGCAATACCAACAAGTGTAATATTTGGTTTGTGTCCTTTGTTAGATTTAAAACTCATTTTTTTGATACATTTGCTGTGTTTTTCAGAAGTGGCACCTCTTATTTTGTTGTCCTGCTACCCCTTGGACAATGACACTAAAGGCTTTCTATTCTATTCTATCCTATCCTATTCATTTTGCACTTGTAGCAGCAGAAGTGACAGTGTAGGTTATAGTGACAATATTGTCCAGCTTCACAGAGCAGGAGTACGTCCAAATAATAAATAACTTCATGTTATTAAACAGATTCTAAGCAAAAAAAAAAGTAATGCTTTTAAATGTAATTTATTGTCATCCTACTTAGTCAACTTTTGCATAATTGAATTTGTCTCGGTAAGAGTATTATCACTCTATAATCAGCGTCTTCAGAACCATACTTTGCTCCATGTCACAGTGTCTGCCGTCAACTTCGAAGAACGCCCTCGCCCAGCATCACCATTTCTGTTTTGGGGCGATGACAGTGTGATTGTCCCTGTCTGCCGCCGTAAGTTCACAACTTCCACAGCGTGAAAGGAAGATCAAGTCATCAGCTGGAGAAAAAAAACAGATAGAGGCCGTCCCTATCAGATTCCCTTCCTCTCCAGTGATGTTAGTGTCCCCAGTCAAAAAAAAAGGGGGGGGGGGGGGGGCAGCGAGTGTCTTTGTTTAGCCTGTCCCCTTCTAATCCCTGTGTGGCCAGAGAAGGGCTTTAGAGGAAGAGCGAGGGAGGGAGAGCGAGCACGCAGGCCACAGAGGCTGCATCAGCCCCCTTAAGGAGCCATGGCCCTTGCTCTTAGAAATCCCAAGAAACTTCACACCTCTCTGTGGGGACTATAAATAGGCCCCATCTGTCCCCCCAGGCTCAGTTACAGCCTCATTCCTTTTGGCATGGTGAGAGGGCAGGGGAAGGAAGCTCTCCGGGTTTAGACAAAAAGGGAGGTGGTTGGTTTGTGGGGAGTCAAAGTCCAAAATCTACTCTCTAGTCATCACAGACGGCTGACTGGTTGACCTCTGCTGCGTGTTTCGTGGCAAAGGAAGTTCCTTCAGTGCAGCGTAACCCTCACGACACTCCAACTCCTCACTTAGGCAGAATACCAGTGACTGTCTTTGGAACCTTACACCACACTGCACTCATCACATGATTTTATATTCCCCCACCCCCCCCCTCCCTCGAGCTCAGGTTCCCCACATTTCATTAATCTTACCTCTGTCACTTCTCCTTAACAGAATCTTAATTACACGGCTCACAGTTTCA